AAGCGCTCAGCGACAGCATGAACGACTTTATATGGAGATTTGCCTTCTGTTCCATGATGCCATGAAGAAAGTTAGGTAATATAAAATACTGTATAATCCGGTGGTGATCTAGTCAAATTCAAAGTGTTTGGATATTTCTGACGGCCGACTTTATTGTTAGATTGATGCCCCTCCACAACCTCAGTGTCATATCTCAGGCTCACCTTGCAGATCTTGTACAGTGAATCCTGACCATCTCCATCTGAGTCCTTGAAGTAATCGTGTGCAGGGAAGGTGCGGTGGATGTCCCGGGTAATGACGCTTTCCTGGGCTGAGTCCTGCAACACATGGATAACACGAGTTACACGATGACAGTGCCAAAGTCCAGCTTGATTCAGACACACAATGTTATGAGACAGATGCTCTTGTTTCTAAATAGATTCAGAAGATGACTAGAGAAGCAAGGAATGTTTCAGCTCAGCATTCAGGAATTAATGACATTCTCACTGATAATACTTCCTACATGTCATCTGTTTGTAGATTTTTACATACAGCAGACAAAGGCAGTATATTGTACTCAACTCAATAAACTGTATTGGTTTGCAGCTGTGATACAAAGCAGCAGCACACTGCTATGTCACTCTGTCTTTATGTGTGTTTTGTCCCATTCCTCCTCCCCAGGCCTCAGTCGCTTAGTCTGCGTTACCTAAACCACACACACTGCAGTGTACACACACATATATCGGACACGACCGCTCGTTTTCCGGCGCACTCGGAAACACACATACAGGCACTCTGCTATATCTCCCTCATTTTCTATTCTAACACACACAGTCAGTCATGCACACTGTCACTCACACACACACTCGCACACAATGCAAACAGTACCAGAGAGAAGACTGGCAGCACAGCATTCTCCAACAAGCCACTGTAGGCTGCAGATAAACCAACCCTGAGCCTGAGTGGCCTTGATGAGTTTGTGTGTATCAGAGACAGAATGGGAGAGAGTGTGTGTGCATGTGTGTGTGAAAGAGAGTGAGGGAGACTGAGAAATGTCATTTCTCTTGTTTTTTTCATCTCCTCGATTCCTGACAGTTGAGCAAAAAGAAGAAGGGAATTAAAGTTGGAATGTTTCAGAGAGAAAAGGTAGTCTGCTGCATGTTTGAGGAAAACATTGCAGAGTATTATGTTTGTATGGTGAAAGGTCTTGGTCAGTCGGCCACCTACTACCCACGTGCATTGGTGAGGAGAAATTTGTTTGTATTGATTAATCAAAAATAATTATATAAAAATAAATAATCAAAAATAAATACATAATTTGTAGATTAAGCAATGCTGATAATATTCAGTTGTTGCCTTTGTTATTTTGGTAGGATATTTATTTTAAAATGTTTCTTTTACATTGCACCCTTTTTATATTATTTTATTAAATGCTATGAGGTGTAGACATCAGACAGATATGACTAGGTTACATAAATAATCATGGCTATTTCTGTAACTTAAATGTTTAGTTTTCCTTGCTTTTTTGACGACTTATTTTCTGTAACTTTAACTTGGAAATAACTGAATTTAATTCAACAGCTGTATCGCTAAATATTTTAGCTTGTTTGCCATGTTGCCAGAATCCTAGATTGTTCATATTTTGTCAAAGTACAAATATATAGTGTATGGTTTAAATGCTGCATGTTCTTCCTGTGCCTGCGTGAGTTCTATCCAGGTACTCTGGCTTCCTCCCACAGTCCAAAGACATGCAGCTGAGGTTGACTGGTGACTCTAAATTGCCCATAGAAGTGTGTGTGGGTGTGTGTGGTTGTTTGTCTCTAAGCGTCAGCCCTGTGACAGACCAGGGTGTACCTGGCCTCTCGCCCAATATCAGCTGGGATTGGCTCCAGTCCCATCATGACCCTATTCAGGAATGAGCGGTATACATAATGGATGGATGGTTTAAATGCTTCACTTAAAGTCTCTCCATTTTCCCCCCCCCCCCCCCACACACACACACACACACATACACACACACACACATACACACACAACAAATGGTTTGACAGAAGCTGCTGGCACTGCTGTATTGAATGCTTTAATGAGATTTGTAGTGTGGAGGTGGTGTGTTGTACTGTTCATTATGCATACAGCGTTACAGTACTTCTGCAACACAAAAAGCAGCTCTTCAGGAATGAAGGTAATGTTGCGAGCAATTGTTTTTTTACCCTTCGTGTGTTCATCGCTGTCTTAACCAAACAAATTTCCTAAACCAACCAAACAGTGGATACTGTGATTCCTATTTGGAAAAGGTATATTCCAAAACAGCCTGTGTTAACTTAATGTAATTTTATGTTTAGGGCTGAAATGATTCGTCAGTGAATCGACAACTTGATCAGCAGAAAACAAATCAGCAACTACTTTTATAATTGACTGATCATATAGGAAAAATTTGAACATATGAAATACAGATGAAATATAAAATAGGGTTTGCTGTGTTTGTATTGTATGTAATTGTAAATACAGCATCTTTGGGTTTTAAACTGATATTCAGACTTAACAACTACCTGAGACAATACTGGTCATTTCCACTAGCAACCAGTGCTAGACTGAAGCTTGAAACACCATATCCATCTTCTATACAGATCTGTATCCATCCTCACAGAGTACAATGATAATTAAAGTGAGAAATAGTGGAAATGCTTCTTGTACTTTATGGATGCCTACTGACTAATTTTACTTTGTTCAGAAAAAGAATGTAACAAACATTTCCACTGCCTGGTCTCTGTCATTTATAAACGAGAGTACAGAACGACCACGAAAAGAGTTGTTCAGCGAGTAAAAACATTACTGTTAAAATAATTATAAACTACTAATTAACGTATTACTCTTTATGAGTTGGTCCATGAATAACAAGCATGATTGACACTGTAATTGCCATGGCAGCATCAGAACCTGGCTGACAGTGATAGTTGTAAACACTTTTATTTAATAAACATGCATGCCTCTATTAATTAACAGCCTCATTACTCAAAAACCAGCGCAAAAACTGAGGAGAGGACGTCCTCTGCTTAATCCCCTCCTTCCTTCCTCCTCATCTTAAATCCTTTCTTTCTCTTCTTTTCAATTTCCCCTACATGCTGTATTTCCTTCACTCCTCATTTATCTCGTCCATTTTCTACTTCCATATTCCGCCCTCTTTTCTACTTCATTTCCTACCCTGAAGTCTCTTTTTCTGATTTCTCTATTTCCCTTTCTTCCCTATTATATATTCCCTGTGTCTTCCATTTGCTATTCTCTTTTCTATTTCATTTTCCTCCTCTCTTTCCACTTCCATGTGTTTTCCTAATATTTACCTCTTCTCACATTTTCAATGAGGAAGGCAAACATGCTAAAAAGTTTCAGACCTGAGGTGTGGCAGTGATGTTCACATATGTATCAGTGTAATCATTATAATGGGTATAACAGGCAAAGGTGAATGAACGGATGAGACAGTCGGGGGGATCTAGAGGGCTGTTAGTGATGTGTTGGTTCCATTTCCAGACAGGGGTAAGAGAAGGAGGACAGAGGATCTGTGGCTGCAATAAGACCAGGGTAGGAGAGGCGGTATGACAGCTGAAGAAAAGGCTATTCTTGACTGCAGGTAATCCTCTTGGTTTTCATTCTTTTGATCTTTTAGTTACTAAAAAAAGTAGGTGGCAGTTTAGGGTGCGATGATTGTTCACAACCTTTAACAGGAAGGCTGTTTGTACCCTTTCTGACTGGCAAAACCAGCACTTTTTGGTAATCTGCCCCACAGGAGTGACAAGGCAGACCTATAGAGCCTGTCTGACCAAAGCCTGTGTGCAACAGAACTATATACAGTAGTATACATATTCATAAGGGCATGCACCACAGTCTGATTATGCAAAATAAATAAAAATACATAAAATAATAAACTGTTGAATGCACTGCAACAAGACATATATCAATTTTTACTCACACATACAAACAAAAATAACTATATGCAAAACTATAACACACAGAATAATACTTCACCTGTACACAAATGAGCAGAAATTGTGCACATCAGCACAGGCTCTCTCAGTATTCTGACATAATACATACTGAGTGATTAAAAAGCATTAGCACAAACTGGGATTACATCGACACTGTCCACCATCTGTCCAAATCCAATGTATTGCTCGCTTGTGTGTGTGTGTGTGTGTGTGTGTGTGTGTGAGAGACGTTTCCTTAGGCCTTGGGAAATTCAAATCTACTATTTTCTGACATTTTAAATAGTACATGGCTAATTGAATATCAAAAATAACAACTAATAATCAAAGTAATCATACTGTAAGTTGCAGGTATAAACAGAACAGCAGGCGTATTAACTAACAGCAAACAAATATAAGTACACATAATAATGATAAGAAAACGAAATAACTTTGATGATGCCAAACTGAATGCAGTGTGTTGAGCGGTTTTCAGTTCTAGTGACAATATGTGAGAAAGGACAAGCCCCAGTTACTGAAACTAAACTGCTTCTGCTGCAATACTAGGAGAGGAGAGCAGTAAAAGGGCAAATGCTTGATGAGGGGTATTTTAGATGTTAATCACTGCCTTGGGTAATGTGCTTTCATTTATATGAAGCTCAAAGGCAATACCAGTTAACATCTGTCATTTTATGATAAAACCAATTATTCCAGAAGCTGAGTTTGCAGCAGAGTTCATCGTGTAGCTGACAGGTCTGTCTACTAACCGTTTGCCTAGCTGGCTGTTAAACTCCATTACAGTAGCCTCGTCCTACAGTACCTCCACAGAGACAAAAGATGAAACAGGGACCTTCATGGCCACAGGTCACTCGTCTGAGGCTAGCTGACATTGGTGACTAGTAAAGTCTAGCCATGTTATCTTGCTGCAAGTCTCCACAGTGTCAGATAGACAGTTTTTCCAGTGACAGAATACCATGCTGTACCTGCACTGAATCTACCATTAAAGCACCCTGTGGAACACAATCAGGACTCAAGGACTTTGGCACTAAATAAGGGAAAAGTGGAGTTTCAAGTGGAGTTCCAGTCTCACATCACTTGTTATCAATGGTGCATACATAAGAATGAAAGGATATGTTCACAGAACAGCATATACAAAAGTAGTTAAAAGATTATTCATCAAAAATAAAATGTAATGTTGTGGGGTCTTTTTTTAGAACAAATAATGCATATTGGATTCTGACATTTGTAAGAGAAAACATGGTGCATGGGATGAGAATGGACGTCAGTGACCCAGAGTAAACGAGACCTCTGACATTATGGACAGTTTAACTGACTTTTTGAGGTTGTCTGCAAGCAGCGAGACCTGTTGGTGACTGTTGAGC